TCCTTTCATTAATTATTAGTGTTCAAGCGGCTAGCATTACTTCTTCTTCTTTTTTTGAAAATAGCTAGCATTACTTCTATGCACAAGTTTATAATTAAGAAACAAATTCACATACTAGCATTATAGATAACAATGAAAAAATGTATACTTGATCAGTGTTTTCAATTTTATCTATATGTTTCTTTTATAACGTTGTTTGGAGATATTATTTTCGATGGCGTAGTGTCGTCTACCAAATTTATATTCACCGTCATCTTCGGTCGGGCGTTCATGTATGCTAATAAGAGGTTTGCATTGATATCTTCATCAATCGAGAATATGATTTTCATCTGCGATGATATAGTAACGAATCACCCCCTCCTGAACCACCGTTGTTCCAAGAAGTTGAGATCACATGGACTGGTTTCTTTTCGGTGGCTGGCAGAAGCGGAATAAATTTTACACTTGGCTCCTTACCTGTGGCTGGACAAATCGGGATGTTTAATACGAAGTAGTTTGTTTGAGAATTATATATTGTGATCGTAGCAGGAGCCGTCGACCTGAATTTAGAGTCTATTTCTTTACGAGATTAACGATTCAACTTTTTCAATTTGAATCGTCTGTTTATATGTCTCATCTCATTGTAGTTTTGAGTTATATGATTGTAGTTGTTATTGGGCATTTTCCCGCAACGCCCCTCACGTAACTATGGCTAGTTCCCCATAAAAGTTAAAAGTTAAGATGTTTGCGGTCACTACAAAACGACGATAATTAATAGAACGTGACTATTTGGGTATGGGCTTCACTGCTTCAATATCACTACTACTTTTAAATGTTTATCTAACATTTAAGTGTTACTACTATTCTATTGCTGGATGAACATTTTACCTTATATATAGTACGTATTTATGTTGCGTATTTTCTTCATTTAAGGATTAAAGTATAAAAACGTATCATCAATACGGAGTAATAAGTAAGGTGTCGTTTATATTAGCTATATATATAGGGAAAAGTAGCAAATGAGCTTCGAACTAACTTACCAAAGTGCAAATCACCTCTTATACAGGAGGTTCTGTCCGCCCGGCTCCATTTAGGGTGGTTCCCGATGGAATCGTTTGATGAAATTTTTTGAACATTTTTTTCATTAAGTCTAGTTTCCTCATACCAAATTTCAGCTAAAAATTCAATCAGTAAAATGATTTTCAAAAATTTATATATGGATGGGAGCCTATACATGCCGCATTTGTTTACCCAACATACAATAATTAGAAACTTAATTTTATTCAACAATAAGCTAAGAAACACACACCTATATATGTATGCATGATGATGATAGTAAGGATTGAATAAAATGCATGTATATGTAATAAAGCTAAGCTCCGAATCTCCGATCCAACATCATATATATCAAACTCCGGCGGGTGGTGTGAGCGCACCGCCGAGGCAAGCGGTGACACAGCTGATGTTGTCGCTACCACAACCGGTGACACAGCCGAAGGAGTCGAGCACGGCGGCGGAACCACACTGGATGGCGCAAGTTATGGCTTTCTGGCTACAGTTGATGATGCACTGCCCCATCTGCGGCTGCCCTCCGCTTCGATCCGCCGCCACCACCAGCATGGTTATTATTATTACTGTTAACTTTTCCATTGCAGACATTTTTAAAGATTAGATGGAGCTGAGAATGGGTTTAAATGGACCGGGCAAGTTTATTTATGGACATACAAAAGGTGAAAAATTAAAGATCCATAATTGCTGGCTCAAATGAAGGCTGAAAGTGGTAAGCTTTCTGTTTGGTTTTTACTTAATAATGATTGGGAGTATTAATTACGCTTAGCTGTAGCGTCATTTGTGCATGCATAGCGTGGTATGGTCTAGCATCCCACCAACCCCACGCTGCTACTATTCAGTATTCATGCTTTCGGTATTCAATTGTTGTCTTTATAACAAATAATATTGAAATCGTCGAGGTACATTTAAGTCTAGTCTAGTCCGGTCTAAGTGTCTGATCTATATGTATTCTACAATTATCGAAGTATGATTTCATCTGATATGATATGTTCAAGTCTGGTCGGATCTGATCTAGTCTGTTAAAGTTTGAATTGGTATGGTCTGTTCTGTTCCATCTGGTTTGATCTGGATTGAGACTTTAGTAGTCCACGTAAAATCATCCAAACGCATTCCTGCACTTTCAAAAAATTTAAACATGGACTCCGTCGATATAAAAACAATGTATAGACTATGTCAATACTTTTTTTTCCTAGCATATTTGTTCCATCAATAAAATACACCCACCCTGTTTTTTACATATCAGTTAAGAAAAACATTGAATAAATTATTACAACCAATCTTTTTATTTGATTTTTTTCTGAATAATTATGAAATTAAAAATGCACGTCTTCAATGTTAAAAAATTAATAAATTCCCTATACATTGTTTTTAATTTTTTTGATTAATAAAAAATAAAACTCTTTCAAGTAAAGTTGGAATTATAAATTATGGAGTAATTTTTTTCAAGTTGTTGCCTAAAAAACTCTCATTGTTGGAACTTCAATATATTTCAAATTTAATATATGTAATAATGGTGTCATATAAATGTTAACATATGTGTTGCAATGTAAAAATATTAATTCTTTGCATTTTTTGCACTATAAAACTACATATAATTTGTGTGATGATAAATAGTCCAAGATTACCAAATAGTGAATTTAATTTTATTAATGTTAAACGAAATCAAAGAATGATATTTCAAAAAAATGTAACAATGTGTTCAAAATTTGCAACAAGACTAAAATTAATGTTTATGAATTTGAAGTGCTTCATTTACATCAGGAAAATAATATTTTTGCAATTTAAAGTTAAAGAGTTAATATTTTAACATAAAAATAAATATCTATTTTTAACACTTTAATTTTTTTATTTTTAAATTTTGAATTTATAATTTATTTTTTGTGTTTTTAAAATTATTTTTATTTATTTAAAGGTATTTTTGCAACATTTTAAAAGTTTAGGGGTATATATTTGTTCCCTAATAAATACTACACCCGTTCTCTGTTAATTGCAACATTCGACTTTTTGGACTTTTCACATGTTCTACTTTGATTATATTTTATTTATTAATGTATACTAAATTAAATTTTAAAAAATATTTTTAAATTACTCTCATTTTAAATTTTCAAAATCTATTTTTTTTTTAAATTTTTTACTAATAAAGAATGAAACATATTAATGGTCAAACTTGTGTGTTAGCAATCGTGAAAAGTGGACCGTTGAAATTAAAGAAGAGCGGAAGAAGTACAAAGTAATACCCACTACTATGTCAAATCGAATGGGAGCCATCCATAGTCCAGATAGATCAGAAATAGTCCCGCTATGGATAGCTGGGCGTGGTTGGGAGGATTGGAAGCCTGCTGGTCCAAAAGAAAAATATACACAATCAATAAAATATGAATATGAAATTCACGTCCAAAAGAAAAATTATATAAAATATTGGACGTGAATATGAAATTCACATTTTGTCAATTATTTTAGTTCTATCTACGTAATATCAGTAACTATTTCCTTATTCAAACAATTAAGTATATTCCATGCTTATCGATTGTATTTAATTATTACAATAGTACCTATATTCCACATTTATATTTAATTATTACGTATATTCCACATTTATCATGAATTGATAGTTCATCTATCTTTTCGATTATAAAACCCTTTAAAAAACCAACTCCATCAATACAAAAAGAAGCATCCGGCCATACCAAATATAACCAAATGATGAGTATATTATATAAAGTAATTGTCCCATATATATAGGACTAAAACAAAGTTGAGATGCTATTATGACTTTATGAAACATAAACAAATTCTATCTTTTTCCACCAAAAAGGACCGATTTAATTCTATTGTGAAACATAAATAAATTCTCATCCCAATTTTACCCATACGGTTATTTTATCTACCCTAGATAAACTTTCTCTCCAACCTCCGTACGCACCAAATTCGGATCTACTCCTAAGCTGCGCACCAGAAGCTTCTCCCATCCGCCCCAGTAGCCGGCCGACTCTCTCTCTCTCTCTCTCTCTCTCTCTCTCTCTCTCTCTCTCCTTCCTTGCGCACGATCCATGGATTCCTCTCTGTACATTGCTGTCATAGACGCCGTTGCCGCCACTCTCCCTCACGTCGTCGTCGCTGAGGTTCTCCTCCTTCTCCCTCTCCTTCTCCATCTCCTTCTCCTTCTCCTTCTTATCTTCCTCCTATCTCTCTGTTTTTTGGGGACTTTGACATTGATTTTGCAAATTTTCGAACTTTTATTTTGTATTTCCAATTCTCAATTTTTTAGTTTTTTAAAAATTTCCGATTTTCCAAAAATTTGGATGATGTCTTTAGATTTTGCCAAGTTCTACCAAGTTTATGGCATAAATTTGTATAATGACAAGCACATTATGGCAAAAATGCGTTTGTGTAAAATGGTATTTCTATTTTTTATCATTAGCTTCGTTTTCTAAATTCGGATTGTAGTAACGTGGTTATTCCATTAATTTTTTTGATTTTTGAATATTTTTGCCAAATTTATGGCAGTTTTGTGTTAATCTTCCAACATAAATCTGCCAACTTCAAAACTGCCAACTTAATGGTGCGGTGGCGGAGGATGGTGGTGGTGCCAACAAGGGCAGATCCAGGCGGTGCCGATGAGGGTGCCGGCGGGCGGCGGTGCCAGGCGGCGCAAACAAGGGCGGCTGCTGATAGGGTGGCTCAGGTCTTACGAAACCTCCAATTTGCATAAGAAGCAATTAATTAGACTTCAAGGATAAAATTGAAAAAACAGACCCTTTTAAGTCTTACGAAACATTAGTTACGTTTCTAGTCCTATTTGTGCACATGAAACTAATTTTAGTCCTATATAGATAGGTCATTAACTCTATTATATACTCCATAAGTCCATATCACTCTATTAATTACTACTCCGTACTATTTGATATATGCTCAAACCCAAATGAATACAAGTACAAACATATGTAAAGGTCTAATTTACCCCTCACCACATAACTTCAACAATCCACAAAAACAAAAACACAAGGGCGATGCAAGCTAGCTAGCTAGGCTATGCCGCATGCATATATCTTCTTAAGAAACTACAAATGACACAATAAACACTCCTACGTACATGCATGCATGCATGCATGATATGATGATAATTGATACTCGTACACAGCATGAAATGAGGCTTCAAACTCCGGTGGGTGAGGCGGATGGGGTGGGTGTTGGTGGGGTGGCTGGACTGGGTGTGGGTGATGGGGTGGGACTGATAGGTGTGGGAGTGGGCGGAGGGGGCGGGGGCGGGGTTGGCGTGGGTGGGGAGGGTGGGGGTGTAATGGGGGTGGGTGGGGTGAATGGGAAAGGTGGGCTCATGATGGAGGCGCCGGAGAAGCAGCCGGAGACACAGTTGATGTTGTCGCTGCCGCAACCGGTGACACAGCCCATGGAGTCGATCACGGCGGTGGCGCTACACTGGATGGCGCAAGTAATGGCTCTCTGCCCACAGTTGATGATGCACTGCCCCACTATCTGCGGCTGCCCGCCACCTCGCTCCACCAGCAGCAGCAGCGCTATGGCTATCACCATTACTTTTTGCTCCAAAGACGACATTTTGAGAAATCCCATCAAGTAGTTTATAAATGGTAAGTTTTTTGAGTTATTAAATGATGGAGTTAGGTTGTTTCGATCGATTGTGTTGATTTATACACATGAAAAGGTAAAAAGGGATGCATTATCGGAGGCTGAAATGGAGGATGAAACTCATGAAAGAGCTGAGCATATAGCGTGGTATGGCGGTGTACCGGACCGTCCATCCGAGGCCCACGCTACTCTTCATGCTTTCCATATCCAAATCTTCCTTCACACATTTTCCTTGATTAGTTCTTTTGGGTGTTAGTTGCTTTGACACATTCCTTAATTAATACCTCCTTCCTAAATTTATTTGCAAATTTGACTTTTCTTGGTCAAACAGTTTCATTTTATTGGCTTAATTAGGATATAAATTTGTAATTATATTCTAATTTGGGGTTTGCAACTTTGAAGAGATTTTAATGTAGTTTCTGAATATGTAAATTTTAATTATTAAAAATTGAATTATTTATCGATACGGAGCATTGACTTTTATTATTAGTTGACCAAAAAATGTTGACTTTGCAAAACAATTTAGGACGGATGGAGTATTATTCTTATACAGTACAAAGTATTTTTAAGATACATCAGCAAGTACATGAATAGTGTTATAGTAACACTTCAAACTAACTTTGAAAAATGGAATAATATAAGAGAGAATTTCCTAAATAGGAGTAAAAAAGTTGAAATTCCAAAATAGAACTATTACTTTTTTTATTCCATGAATAAGAGTAAATTAAATTTCTGCCAAGTTTGACATTATTAGGCTTTAAAACATGATATTTTTTCTCAAACTTGACATATTACTCCGATTTAGGGAATACAAAACATGATACTTCTATTTTGGAATTTCAAAACGTTTTATCACAAATACATGAGCAATAATCAATTTATAGTGGAGCAATCTCATAAGAATGTAACAGGGATCCATACGCTTCTTTTGTTTTTATGGTCAATATTCAATAAGAAATGAAGATCTACTATATTACAAAAATTGTGAAGCAAAATTTCAAAAATCAAAATGGCCAAAGCCATTGATATGGCACAAGAGTTCAAAGCAATAAAAGTTGGCTTGATTATATAGAGTTTATTGCACCAAACCCTCGTAAAACATGAATTCGCCGCATTAGCTCCTTGTCATTTAAAAAATGCGTCAAACATTCACTGTGTTATAGCTATTCATGCACAAAACCCCTTATATGAACCAATTTAATTGCCAAATAAATGAAAAATGATTAGAATTCTTGTATAATTGCTGACATTCATTACGGTGATACATAAATGAATCTTAGAGAAGATGATCCTCAATCAAATCAGAAAAAGTGGAGAAAATCAAAGAAAAAGAGAATTATGGGAGCATGCAGCCTGCTATCACGACACTTGGTGATCAAACAGTTGACTCATCCGATGGAGTGGTTTCCAATGTTTATTCATAAATAAGTTAAGTGAGTTATCTAGGCTATGTTTGGCGGACATAAGTTCCTGCCTTCTAGCTTTTGTATTATTTAAAAAGTCTTTAAAAGCTTGTAGTTGTATGTTTGACACGCCAATTTTAAGATCTTTAATAAAAATAAAAGATCTTTTTTGAGATGCTACAGTGAGTAGCATCTCAGATAAGTACGTAGCTTTTAGCATTAATTAGTCTTAACAGCTTGTATACCAAACAGAGCTAAATCAAACAGTCATTTTTTTACCAAACAGCTATTGCCTTTTCTTTTTAAGATCTTTTCAGTCACGAAAAGCTAATAGTTACTAAAAAGCTCATAAAAGTACCAAAACTGAGCCGACCGCCGATCATTAGTGCGACCGTTCGGTTACTTCCCAACGGTAACTAGTTTTGAACAGTTACCATCTTGTTAGTATAAATACCCTTTTCACCTGACTAATTTACCTCACTTCATTCTTCTCTTACACTCTTCTTACAAAGACACCTTTACACTTTACATCCTCCCAAAAAATCCTCTAAAGGATCCATGTGACGATCATCATCCTTCTAAATTCAATGGAAAACTCAAACCAAGCATCATATCCCGGCTTGCTCAAGATCATATCTCACTGGAATTAACATTGGCTCCTCCACAACAAATCACTAGAAAAAGATCATCCATACCCCTGCACAAGAAAATGCATTTTTGATTTTGAATCAAGGATAATCTTCCACTCTGAGAAAAAAGCTCTGAATATGGAGCGTCAAAGATTGCTAAGATGGAGAGCCAGGAGACTATATCCTATCAACCTCCTTCTTTTTGTTGCACCACAAATGGTGCAAGAAGAACAATTCGTTCTTGGGTGGCTACGGACAAAACCCATTGAGGTTTCACTCTCAATGGACATTATCAACAAAGTGATCTACGTACATCAAGAAGCTAGAAGAACTAAATCAAGCAAACGAAAGAAGAAAGAGGAAGCTACCATAGGTTTGTATCCTGGAGAATCATCTCGACAAAAGCCTTTCTAGATAATGAAGAAAATACATTTCAAGTGCTACCAAAAAGGGGAAGAGAATACTCACAAACACTTGGCACATCAAATGTACTCTTTTTCATTTTTTGTTTTTGACTTAAGTTTTGGCATCATCAAAAAGGGGAAATTGTCAGATCCCCTAGATTTGGATAACTAGGTTTTGATGATGTCACCCCTGTATTAGACTAATATCACTTGATATGTACTTTGATTTCGGTTTTTTGTATTACATTATGTGTTGAAAAAGAAAAAGTACTCGAATCAAGAAAAACAAAGAAGAGTACTAAAACTGAGAAGAGCAAACGTACCAACTGATATCTTCTTTTAGATACAACAATAGCCTTTTGAAAATTTGAGATAGTAGCCTACCGATTGTTTCCCAGAAAAATGAGAAGTTACTAGTTCCTTTCTCTAAGAAAACCAAGGCTGCTGAATTTGCTTAGAAGTCTTTATTATTCCTCACTGCAAAGCAAATCACGAATAATCATGGGACCCGCTTGCTATAAAAACAGGACAAAAGTAATTTTCAGAGAAATTTTTCCCTTGATTGTAAAAATTACTTATACCATTACTTTTGTACTGAAACAAGGCAGAGAACCTTAAAAGTTGAGAAAGCATTGAACGAACATGCAACTAACTTACACTCTATATTCTACGGCCAAAGATTAAGATTTGGAAATTTCTATGGTACCTCTTCAAATTTGGAGTGTATCATACACTTGCCTTTCTCACCCAATAACATTCCATGTCAATTCATTAATGACACTATTTCATGTCCCACTATTTCCATGTGTCACTATTTCATTTGTCCACACAATGAGATGCACCATATCTTCCAAATTTTCAAAGGCACCATAGCATGACCCTTAAATTTTTATCTTAAGCCACATGCCTTGAAATGAGGAATGCAAGTTGAACAAAGTCACGACTTGTGCCACAAAAAGACAAAGATCAACCACGCCTGCCTCACAGTCATCAGACAAACAAGTGGATCTCTTAAGTGGATCTATAAATGATCAAGAGTGAAACTTCTAAACAACGAGAGATATTCAACAACTAAAGTCTATAAATACAAAAGGAGTACATGCATGAGAATTAAGTGTGGAGCTAAGAAGGAAAAATGATTCTATATGTCATATCTAGAAAGGAGCAAGTGCTGATCATCACTTGACCTCTTAGTTCTCACCCCACTCTCCTAAGCTCTTAGAATAGTACATACACATATACATCGTTAGAGCTTAGTTAGTTGGAATTTTAGCTTTATCTTTGTAAACTAAACTTGTTTGTAAACTCTGGAGAGCTTTGTGATCAAATCCAGAATGAGTGTGAAGAGAAGGACATGAGTAGCTTTTAACTAGTCAATGTCATTAGTGAAAAACCTTGGAGGACTGCGTAGCTTGGAATGGTGTTTTAATTCCTTGTAAAAAAACTCACAATCTATGCCTATGACAAAGGGTAGATTGGGCACTAAATGTAATGGGCATATTCATTTAGTGATAATCCATCTGAAAGAGGGTTGGACTAAATGTAAGAGGATTACACCACCTCTGAACCATGATATATCTTGTGTCATCTTTTATATTCATTTTCCACATTGCCAACAGTCCTCGCTCATCTTCACATCTATTCAAACACTTAAACAACTTATTCGTAAACTAACCAATGAACTACTTAGTTGTAATCAAATTTTTCTTTTTACATCCCTACATTGAAAAATCCTTTCAAGGCAAGTCAAATTCTTTATTCCTATGTGTCTAATCAATTCAACAAGTTCCAAAAGAATTACAAGACTGTAGCTTTTCACTATATCTAAAATAATTTAACAGTAACCTTGTTTCAGCTATCCGCTGAATGAGGCCACTAATTGACAAACACATCTGGTCATTGTGTAAATCATCTTTCACCAAATTAAACGGGTCATAACTTTTGTTACTATAAAATGTCAAATTATATGAGGTCAAGACTTCCACGGTTCATTGGCAGGCTGTCAAAAGGGTTATATAGTATATTAAAGGCACACTTGAGTATGGTCTTGATACGTTCGTAATTTCCATTTCTATGTTTATGTTTTTAATTAGTTTTGCTTAACTTTTACTTTGGAAATTACACACTTTTGGTGTAATAGATTAGATTGTTAAATTCTTGTAAATAGGTTAGATTAGACATATTCTGAGCTTAAGCAGGTTTTGGTCACCCAAAGTACAGTTGGTGAACCCAAAAAGTGAAGAGAAAGTGCAAAAGTTCAAAGACAAAAGAAGATCCTGAATTTTGGTCTATACTCGGTCGAGTATTAGCTATACTCGATCGGGTATTAGGTTGGAACTTCAAATCGGATCAGATCCGAAGACAAAGGAACATGCAGGGAAGATTTTGGCCACGATTCTATGTCTATACCCGATCGGGTAGACCGACATACCCGATCGGGTATGCCTTTAAATTGCAAACGAAGATCGGTCGAGTATAGCCCGAATACCACTTTCTAAGCATACTCGACCGGGTATTCATATATACTCGATCGGGTATACACTTAGAAACTAGCCTGAAACCGGTCGAGTATAGCCCGAATACCACTTTCTAAGCATACTCGACTGGGTATTCATATATACTCGATCGGGTATACACTTAGAAACTAGCCTGAAACCGGTCGAGTATGCCT